TAAAAAGAGAAACATCTAAAAATGTTCTCTCATATAAAAAGACTCAGAGAAATTTTAAAATTTGAATCTGAATTAAAAAAAAAAAAAAATGTTCTATTTTAGCAGGGGTTAACCATTATCTTTCCTATATATCCTCTACATTGTTACTTGTATATATAATGTGTATATACTATTAAATTACATTTTTTACTGCCTCTTATGTGCATCAGCCTTAATCAGTAACCTACCTTAAGTGGCTCATGGGCCTTGTATTGAGTGAGAAGTTAATAAAAATAAAACGTTTTTCACATGTCAAAAACTGAATTACCTCATTTAGATTGCTTTACCTAGCCTCATATTCTGAAACTACAGAAAAAAGAGATGTAGCTGAAATGAGAAACTGACACATAAAACTATGTTTTTGGTTTATGTTCAACTGTAGTGGTTTCTTTTTATAAAATGTTTCTGGCTTGCAATGTTTTATTTCTGTAATCATGTAGAATTATTTTCACTATTGTGATTTCTAGCTTTATGTTCAGCTGCAAGAGGCTAATTTGGTGTTAAAAAAATATTATAAAAATATAATTTTAGCAGTTTTTTTCAAAGCATTATTCCATTACCAAATTATTATTAGTGTCTCACTTAGATCACAGGATCCTGTTCTTGTGAATAATAATATTCAAATGCTAATGTTTTCTGTTTCTCAAGTGATGATTTTTGTGTTATTAAATTCAAATCATTCATCTTGTGGACATTGTTTTTCTCTAACATTAAAAATTATTAATGCTGCTAAATATATTTTTCAAAGTCGTATATATAAGATTGACAAAAATAATTATTAAAAAATTACTGAGAATTCAAATTTAGAATTACAGGAAATATTCTTTGCTTTTCTTTTAAAATATCAAGTTAGTTTATAGAATTAATTGAATTAAAAAGTTACCTGATAAGGTAAATTTGTATAATTTGTCTGACATTCTGCAAGGTCATTTCTCAGGTCAACCCTGCAACTGGCTTCTCTGAAGTACACTAAGTGCAAAGTATATTCTGGTATGATCTGGAGTTTGACACGTACTATAATACTTAGTTTTTCTCTTTCTGATTATAAATTTCCTTCTTTCTGTTTCTGACATTATGTCAATTATAGATTTTCTTTTTTCAGGATTGGAAGTTGTGTGGAAAATTTTAAATGTGGAAATATAGTTAGCATATATATATATATATAGTAAGTGTTTATAAAATTGATATATTATCTGAACCCTGGCAAGTGAAACATCAGAAAATTTGAAGTCAGTTTTTTGGTAAGTATAGACTTTAACTTCAGTGGTATAGACCCCAACATCCCAACGATGACTGGGACAATTTTTTACCTGAACATCCCACATTCTAGCAGCTTCCATTTGTTTTTTAAACTTATCAATTTCTTTGACCTTGACATGATGATCATCAGCAAGTGTCATGTTGATGTGGAGACATTTTCTTGTTTCTTTGACATTGTATGTAATGTCTGCTTTGGTGGCTTCAAAGACATGGTCTGTTGAAATCTCACATGATCTTGACTTGGTCATTTTCAATCATCATCTCCTCTGGCTTTTAGCAGTACCATTTCTCATTAACTTTGAGTCCATATATACTACATAGTCAACAATACAGATAAGAAGCCACTTTATCATGGTGGTGATTGTATTCTTTCTGTACAAGTACTCCACAAGCACCAATGATGTGGGAGATATTATTATTATTATTATATCTAAATTGTAATTTTATTTATTTTTCATCATATTTCTGATCCATGATGTTTACTGCCTGCTGTAGATTAATGGCCAGAGAAAATTGTGATAAAAAGCAAGAAAAAAAAAATCAAGCTGAAAAAAAATTACTTGTTAAAACAATGATGATTAAGTTAAGAGTTTTGTGTTTGGCAAGTTTTTATTTATTTTGCCATAAGTTTATGAACAATTTACGGCCTAAGAACCTTTCTAAAGACAATGCATGCACATTAAAAGTTTTTAGAAATTTGTAAAAACGTAAAAAAAATGCTAAAATATGTGGACAACAAAAATGTTCATGAATCATAACGGTTGTTGTTAAAAAAAAAAATGAAAAGAGGAAAAGGAAGAAAAATAGATCAAAATGTGACATTCATTCTGCTAGGAAAATATAGCTAAAAAAAACACAATCATACATAAAACTTAAAAGTGACATCATCCTAGGAACTGTTTTATGAAATTTCTAGGTAAGAAAAAAAAAAAACGAAAATAAAATATGGAATTTTTTACTCGTCAAGCCAGCCCACTATTTCTATTGCATGTTTGCACATTAAGAGAAACGTTTATTTAAAAAAAAAAGTAGACAGGCTAACCCTCATTGTTTTTAGCTGTACTTCAGCTTTCATTTGACAAACATTTATTATTTCGTTGTTTTAATCTTTAAAAAAAAAATTTTAAAATTTGGAAGACAAAGAAACAAAATCCATATTGATTTATTTTAATTCACTAAGTAACCCCCTTGCATCCTAGTGGTTCTTTTTGCTTGGGGTGAAATGATTTTAAAAAATTCTACTTGTTTTATTTTTTTAAATGTTTTAGAAAAAACTAGAAAATGAATAATTTGGTGTATGAATTCTACATTACAATTTAAAACAAAGCTATTTATTTAGCACTCAGAAAAAAATTAAAAACAAAATTAGGAAAATATTCAATGTTTGAATAAGTGAACTGTTTCAGGAATACGCAGTAGATTATGTACATTGAAGAAAGACTAATGTGTGATTTATCACTCCGGGAAGGAATTTTTGCACATGATTGGAAGAACAAACTTCATATATCTATTTTTACGACATGGGAAGAAAAACTAACAACTTGTGTAAACTGTTTTATGAATCTCTGTCTTAACATATTGGTAACAACACTTATTTTCAGAGACTTGTACTGAAACAAGTTAGTATTTCTTTTTATTCTCACAGCAAAATAGTTATCATTTAAATTACAATAATGTTACAGTCAATAATGACTGGTGTTTTCTGTTTACCATTATCTGCTATTAAAAAAATATACACATGCAAACAAACACAAAAATGTTTTCTCAAAGTGTGTACAGATTTTTACCAGCAGATAATTTTGTGGTCTTTTCTTTTGTATTTCTATTGTATGGCTGATATTTTAAATAGTCTTTTCAAATGTAATAAATGTAATTTCCAAGGAATTATCATTACACTGATTTACTTGAACTACTGTTACAACGAAGATGATGATATACCAGATTGAATAATTCTATGTTAAATAATAAATTTATTTTTCAAGAAAAATAATCATTAACAATGAAACTATGAAATCATTACTTTTATTTCTTGTATGAGATTCTTAGCATAGGGCCTATGTTGGGTTGTCGACCATCTTTTATATTGGAAATAACGGTCCATTTATTTAGTGCCATTTTCAATTCTGTATCAACATAAATACATACATATATATATATATATATATATATATATATATATATATATATATATATATATATATATATATATATATATATATATATATATATATATATATATATATATATATATATATATATATATATATATATATATATATATATATATATATATATATATATATATATATATATATATATATATACATATATATATATACACATATATATATATATATATATATATATATATATATATATATATATATATATATATATATATATATATATATATATATATACATATATATATACATATATATATATATACATACATATATATATATACACATATATATATATATATACATATATATATATACATATATATATATATATATATATACACATATATATATATATATATATATATATATATATATATATATATATATATATATATATATATATATATATATATATATATATATATATATATATACACATATATATATATATATATATATATATATATATATATATATATATATATATATATATATATATATATATATATATACATATATATATATATATATATATATATATATATATATATATATATATATATATATATATATATATATATATATATATATATATATGTATAGATGCATGTATAGATGTATATATATATATAGATATATAGATACATGCATACATACATAGTGTATAGGGGGGAGAGATCATTATTCAAACATATATTGTTAAATATAACAGACAACGAATGTCTATTATGTTTTATGATGAGCTGTTCTAAGTGACGTATAATGGCTTTAGTTTCAAGAGAAAAAATAAAGACAAAAACTGTCCAACATATCGGTATTTCTTTATTATATTGGTCGTCGATCTGAGCTTTCGGTTCGTCATATAACCACTCTGATGATGGCTCATGTGAGCCGGAAGCTTAGATTGACGACCAATATAATAAATAAGTATCCAAATATTGAACAGTTTTTGTCTTTATATTCTCTTGAAATTATAGCCATTATACGTCACTTAGAACAGCTCATTCGTTGTCTGTTACATTCAACAATATATGTTTGAATATATATATATATGATTACAATATATAATATTTTATATATTAAGAACAATTTTAGGGGAAAGAAGTATGAAAAAGTTTTCGTGTGATTTTCGTCCTTTACGACCAAGTTTATGTTTACGTTGATGTAACTACACATGCGCACGAACGAGAGACGCTGGGAATTCTTAATTTAATTTTTTTTTATGTCTTTTGGGTATATAATCTAGCCGATTTCATTTAAATTCTTTTTTTTATGTTTCCATCACTTTTATAATTAAATATCCCACATTGTGATAATAGAAGATTTGCCAAGCATTAATAAGATAAAGGTAGATCATATGAACGTAACACCTATTGGTTAGTTTAGAAGTTTGTCTTTAGTTGAAATTTTCGATATTTATGCAAGACCTTAACTTTTTACAACGAAAACACAACTTGGACATATTTAATTTAATATGACGAGTCTTTGTAATTTAATTTTGATTAAAGGCATCCGTTATTCAACTGTTTGGCCCTCTGCAACCGGTTCTTCTAACAATTTGACCACCTCCTCATTTTTTTCTTGGTTCTCGTGGTAACAGTTCACCTTACTTAAACGATTGTTTATTAGTTCTGTCTCTGTGTCGTCGATGTCTGAAAAACCGCTGTAACTTGCCGCCAAATAACCATTGCTCATTGGCCGTTTAGCACGGTTACCGTGTCGGCGACAAACGGGAGCTGCCTCTTTCCATTTATCTGTGTTCCTGTCTTCTTTTTCCGTAATCTCCTCTTGGCTCTCAAGAGGTGAACTGCTCCAAATGCCACCATCCAAAGACTGACACATTTCCTCGTCCCAACTAACACCTCGTTCCATTCGACCTGCTTTCTTTCTCCTCGGTGAATTGCCAACATCCCAAGCAATAGTACTCGAAGAAAAATACTGTTTCCAATGAGTGTTGCCTGTCTTCGGAAAATGAAGTCCTTGGGTTTTGGTTTCCGACAATGTAGCCATCGTACGCCGGAAGAGGTTGATCTCACTTCCGCTGTGAGGAATACGTGTACGGCTATCGGGATCATCGCTCATGCTACTTGATCTATTAGGGCTGTAGTGCTGATTTCGAGCCTGGTGCAGTGGACTGCCATAACTGTCAAACATGCCTTTAGCCCGGTACGGGCTATGAGGCAGGTGTAACGGACTGTTATTAGTGCTGCTGCTGCTGCCACCACTTGTGTCAATTGATTGCTGTAAAGAGCTTGCAACATCTTCGTCTAGATCACTCTCTGAGCGGCTGTTGTCATCTATTAAGTGTTGCTGTTGCCTATTTACAAGGGACATTCGTGGTGATTCAACGAACGGTGTCTCGACCGTACCTTTTAAGGGACATGACTGTCTTATGTGACCTCGGTCACCACATTTAATGCATAGGGGTGGTCGGCCTGGAACAACTACAAGAGGCCTGTAAGGACCTATTCGAGGGCGGTCAGGTATCGCTGTCCTCTTAAAATCGGCAAACACAATGTGAACAATGATGACTCCGGACTGTGCGTGATGTAGACCGTCTGTTGAACAATTTAGTCTCTCTATGCGGAGAACACGTCCAAAATTACTGAAATACTTGACTAGGAAATCGTCTCTGATGTAAGGTGGTAGCCAGAAGATGCGCACTGCCGTTGATTGGTGTCCTAAACTCTTGATATAAAATGTAAGTCCATAATCGAAACGGACCCCCTCGAGGAGAAGGTTGCCGGCACAGGACTCGGAATCTTTTTGAAAGGTCACAAACCACATATCGTTTCTTTCCATTTTCCAACAAGACGCGACGTGCTCCAAACTGATGTTGCGTTCTAAAAACTCTTTCAGGCGACTCCTGGAAATAAAAGTCGGTCGGTTATTCTTCTCCACTTTGAAGGAAACAGTGCGACGCAGCAGATCGGCGTCGTAGTCATCTTTGTCCATTGACGTTGGCGATGGAAGACTTCGAGATCGGTAACTGCTGCCTGAGAGAGACAGCGCGGCCACCGTAGATGGAGCCAATTCTTCTTCTGTCGTGGCCCTTGAAGTGGTAGTTTCTTCCTGGCTAATTTGCCTTTCTTGCAGATCTACCTGGGGCATGTTGATCATTTGATAATGCTTCTTTTTGATCAGACCTTTTCTTAAAAGAGTAGCAGCTTGTGGCTGATTTACAGTTGTTAAGGTATGATTTTAGTGACTGAACAACTGTACAAATGATATTTAATGAACTGTACTATGAAGTGTTTTATTCACCGATTAAATGCGTCTTTGCTACTAATTTACGGTCTATTTACATTCCTTGTAAATTGAGCGAGCTTTTAAAGTTTACTATTAAAATGTAATCTGATATTTTAAGCCTGCATTGTTGAGGCGGACACTAATTTAATTCATCTTTGATAGAAGAGACAATAAATGAAACTATGAATGTAGCAATTAAATGATTTCTTAACGATATATATTTTACGTTGCTAGAAATACAGATTTGAAAACTAATCTTGGAACCATTTAATGGGTTGCCTAATGCACGATTTAACTTTTTAATGAGTTGATTTATTTTAATGGTGTTTTTTCTTTAATAGTTTAAGGTGTATTTAACCAATGCTTTATTATATTCTGAAGCTATTTAAGATATTTAACAGAACACCCACTTATCCCGAATGCGGAACAATACCTTTCTATTGTGTGGTCCTGCGCGTACAAGGGAACAGAGTTAAAAAATAATCCAATAGTTCTTTTTCTAAGGTTGTTTAATGACATCAGAATCTTTTAATGAGTTGAATAAGATATAATTTGACTTTTTTATTGGTTCAATTGTTTTAATGGGGTTATTGGTTAAGAGTTTAAAGAGTATTTAGTGTATATGTCAACTAGGGTTGTAGTATTTTTAATGAACCTCCGAACTGGTTTTCTAATGTACGATGTAACTTATTTTAACGGGATAGATAGTATAGTATTTAATAGTGGGCTTGGGTAAAAGTTAATGTGTATTTAATGTATAACTTAACCAATGCCTTCTGAAGTTGTTTAAGATATTTAACAGAACGTCTAATAGTTTTTTATGAATCTTTTAATGAGTTGCGTACGTTATAATTTGACTTTTTAATGGTTTCACCTATTTTAATTGGGTTATTGGTTAAGAGTTTAAAGGGTATTTAATGTATAGCTCACCTAGTGCTGTAGTGTTTTGAGGCTATTCAATTAACCTTTTAACTGGTTCTCTAATGTACGATTTAACTTTTAATGGGTGATTTATTTTAATAGAGTTTTAGAAATTAATAAATATTTAATACTTAAAACGCTTAGTGTGTCATTTTAAAGGAACTCTTGGAAAGAAGTTTATTATCTGCGCTGTTGCTTTTTAGAATGGTTGCTGCTTAGTGCTTTGATTTTTTTTTTGTTGCTGTTGGTTGATAGTTGTTGAAACTATCTTTGGTAAGATTTTAACTATTTTTCAAAGGATTTAATTCGTCTAGTTTTGGGTATACGCTTAGTACACAATATAGAGTGTTGATTATTACTTTATTTTGTGCATATTTGAAGTTGTTTTCTTTTTTTAATAAAAAAAATCAGCAGTTGTTATTTGTATACTTATTAATTATTCGTGCAAGTTGGTTATTGCTACTTTTAATGCAAAAAAGAGAAAGTTAGGGTCCGACGTAAAACTTTCCTTTTTTCTTGCGGAATAACTTGTAACTTATAACTACGAATTAATCTTCTAGCCATAATTCCTTGTGTCCACATTCCACTATCTTACCACTGGGTTTGGTTAGGAAAACATCCTGTGTATTTTTCTTTAGGGCTTATAATGCGATAAGAGCTGTTTGGTCGGCTAGTAATTTAGGGCTTAAATGCTTTGTTTAAGAGATTGTTAATGTTTAATGTTTATTGTGTAAGTGGATTAAGTTAATTAACAATCTCTCTAGAAGCAGAACAGACTTAATAATGAGGCAGTGAACTTTGAATATTAAGGATAATATATATATAAACAAATGACTCGTTTAATGATAACAATCAAGATGATTATCATGAAAGCAGTGAAACATTAATGGAAAGAAAGAAAAATTCACATGGAAATATCTACTCTTCAAATGGAAAACTTACAAATGTTTTGATAGAAGGATAGAAATCACTGGAAAGAAAACATCAAAAATAATCGCATTACAAGTGTCACGGTGTTGTGGGAGATTTGCATGTGTAACATGTTCAACAGTATGCTCACTCTTTGCGAATACGGCACAAGGCCATTTTAACGTCCCACGCAGGACGTTATAAATCAGACAACCATTTATCGATTTTTTTTATCTCATTTACGATGTCGCAATGCTCAATGTAAAAATTTGTTAAGGATAAAAATTACTCTAATGATAAAAGACTTTGGAGAAGAAAAAGAAAAAGAAAAAAAAATAGATCCTGCTTGAATGTTCTGTTTAAAATAAGTGACTGATTATATCCGTAATAATTCCACTGTAGATAGAAAAGCGAAATGGCATCCTGGGAAAATAATCCGACATTCAATTCTTGAACATGGAAAAAAAAAAAAGAAAAAAAAGACAAGCAAGAAATAAAGTAGTGCTATAAAGTTGCCATTGGTTTCCACAATAACATAAATACGGCTTCAATTCGGTAATCCTCGAAGAATTAAGTTAATTCTCCAAAATGTAGGAAAAAATTCGTAGAAGGACGCTGCTTTAAGGTATTAGATGAAAAAGAAAATCTTTGAAGTGTTTCTGCCTGCGTACACAATTGTGCATCAAGTGAATGTTGCTTTATATGTGTGCATAGATATTTTTAATAATATTAAATTAATATGTCCTTTCACTATGCATTTATTTAACTGTTGCATGCATGCGCATAAGTGCTGCTATTCGGGTGCATATATCCCGTGCACCTAAACGAATCCGTAATCGCATTTGTTAAACGCATGCATTTAAGAAATACGATTTATAAGTGTCTGAGGAGAAGGCTGTTGTTATCCATATAGTTTCAGGAATATCTGTGCTATGTGCGTATTTAATTGCATGCACATTTAAATATTCCTACTGAAGAAGTCTCCGGAATTCAAAATGTGACACAATTTGTTCAATTATAAATTATTGTGTGAGGTGTAAATTTATAAAGCTTTTGTCATTATTTAAATATGTAAATGTTGCATGTACTTGTGTTGGGTATATGTGTACCAAATAGAAACGTATTTTATTTACAAATAGATGTGTAGAGAGTTTTTAATTGGGTATATACTCTTCACAGAGTAACAGATTGAAAAAAATTTACTCTGTTTACATATAAATAACTCGTTTCGTTGTTAGTTGAGAATTTTTTTGTGATATGCGTTTCCGGTTTATATATATATCTATTATTTGAATTGGATGCATGGAATTATTTTACTGGATTTAAATTATTACATTCCTTTTCTTATTTTTAAATAATATTATCATGTAGTTGCATCTTCACACTGACTGACGCTGGGGATCCAGTGATAGCAAGTTTCCTCGGATTTCCAGTACTTTTGCCGATATTCAGTCATAACTGTTGGTCCAGATGGTCATGACTATTTTCCAGGTCTCCAATTTATCCAACCTTTGCTGTCTTTAGTGTATTAGGAGAACGACCCTCAACTTCTCTATAAGAGGCAGATCGCGGCTGAAGTGTGTGGGGCGGGGTGTCTCGTTTTTCAGTAGAAATCAAAATAACTTGAAATATATGATCACAGCGAAAGCATTTTTACAACACAAATAATTATAAAAGCGACTTGTATGCATTTAGTTTGCGTGCGCGCAGTGTTAGTCGGTGCGTTTTCAACAGACCGGGAAAGGGTCCTGCTTAGAGCATCGTGTGTCCGCTTAGTCTGAGATGCATGTTATACTGAGCAAACTCGACACGACAAATTCCAGTGTTCCAAACCACCCACTTTTATCCAATTATAATGGGTTCAGGGTAGTGAATAAAAACAACGTCCTTATGGCTAAGAGAATTTTGTCCAGCTGGAGACGAAATAGCCATCAAATAACTATCGTTTTGTGTTGTGTATATCTAGAGGCGAAAGAAAAGACGAGACCCACCAACCCAACAACATAGAGAGAATCAATGGTTTTCTTCTTCAAGACTTCCATTTAAGTTTACCTAAAATATTGGCGTGAGGTAATTACTAATGAGTAGTAAAGTCCCCACCGTATATCCCATACAAGAATCGACATTATAATATCCCAACAAGGGTTGATATGTATTGTAAAGTTAATCTAACTTACCTTCAATATTAATGTTAAAGGTACTATGCTTGCGTGTATGGGTTATGTATATTTATAGTAGATGTGATGGCTGTCGTTGTACGTGTGTGGTTTTATGCACGGGAAATATTGAAGAAGAGCGTTGCCCATATTTTATTCAATTGAAATACTTTGCTGTTTTTCGACGATAAATTTAGGGGTGGAAAGTGTTTGCTCGTATTTCGGTTGGGATTAAAACCAAGATTTTAAATTGTTTTGTCTTTGTGGCCTTTGCTCTGTTCGTGAAAGCTACTGTTGAGTGAAAACTTGTAAAGAAGCTCGTATCTGTAAAGTAAATCAATCTGTTTAAATCTGGTGCAAAATATTTGTTTTGTTTCTCTATAGTTTTTTCTCTCTCTCTCTTTGTGTGTGTGTATGTGTGTGTGTGTAACACATTTAAAATAATATTAGTAAAATATAAATAACGCAAAAGGAACAATGTTGCATATCACGAATGGAACGCCTTTTCGGTTGAGTCAATATATATAAAGAGAGAGATGTTTATATATATATATATATATATATATATATATATATATATATCTGTAGATGGATACGTAAATCTTTACATTTTTTAAGATTTTTTTTGTTTTTCGCTGTGATATTTTTACTGAAATATTATATATTGGAAGTTATTAGAGATGAGACAAAAGAGGAACCGGATTTTAAAAAAAAATGTAGTATACTTACTTACCGAAGGGAAACCGAATGAAAGGTTTCTCTACAAAACGTTACAGGTCTATGGGATTAGCGAGAATGTTTATTATATGTGCATCATCAAATAGCAGTTGTACATATATAAACTAGATTCTTACGAAACGGAAAAAGATAAACCTT